CTCGCCCCGAAGTATCTTGAAAGCCATTAATAAATCTGCCAAAGTTCTTCTATAGAAAAAGACTCCTGAGCCCAAGTTTGCGCAACCTGGTTTTGTAGTCAGGAAGCGCAAAGGGATAGTTAGGGTTAGGAAATGCTCTTTAGTAGACGATTTTAGTGAACAACTTCTGCACTTTTTCAATCCTCTCAATGTCCTTCTTTTTATCTGGATTACAGATGTAGCTGCAATATTCCAACACTGGAAGTACATAAGCTTTGCAAATTTTAGAAGAATTCTCGAGTCGCAAGAGTGGACGGTGCGCACCAGCGCATATACCATACGTCTTGCCCGGGAGAAACTTCGTTAATGTGATGAGAGTAGCTAAGATTTAAATCAGTAATTACTCTTAGGTCTTTCAAAAAGAGTTTATTTCCCAAATCACAGTAGTTTTGTAAAAGGGAGCTATCTGTCCTTCCAATGGGAATAGTGCAGCTCTTGGAATAGTTCACTTTGATATTCCACTTCTCCGCCGACGCAATCATTCGAGATAGAGAATTGCTAAGAGCTCGCTAGGCGTCTGCTTTGTTATTCTGGTCACACGCGATGTAAACCTTCACATCGTCAGCATACGCAGCCACCCCAATGCGGGTATCAGTCTTTAGGAGGGTAGGCAAATCAATGGTATACATAATGAACAATACGGGTGATAGACAACTGCCCTGTGGTACTCCAGATTTACTAGGTCTGCCGGTGGAAAGCCTATCCTGGACGCGAACAGAAAACGTTCGGTCGGATGGATAGGATTCAAACTAGAGTGAAAAGGGGCCTCTATTTCCCAAGCTCTCCAGCTTAGCCAAAAGGATGTTGTGGTCTACAGTGTCAAAGGCTTTACTCAAATCAAATTAAACTGCATCAACATATTCATTTTTGCTCAAGGCAGCAATCCATCGTTCTTCCTGTAAACCGTCCTGGTAAAAAACCATTTTGTTCTTCCGGTAGGCACTTTATTTTGAGAAGCCAATCAAGCAAATTACTTGTTAAGATTTTTCGAGGATTTTACATGGAGTGGAAGTATGGAAATTGCCTGAAGTCAGAAAGTTTGGGTGTGACAGAAGTTTCGGGTAAAGGTGTCACGATAGCAGATTTCCAAGGACGGGGCACTTGGGAATGCAAAAAAGAAATGTTAAATATTTGGGTCAGTGGGAGGGCTAGTTCATCAGCAAACACTCTGCAGAAGATCCCGGGAATGTTGTCAGAGATTAACGACAATGCTGGATCCACTTTTCTTAGAAGTTTTCGTACCACATGAGGTTCAACAGCAGGCATAGAGCACTCATTGATTGACTTACTAGTCAAAAGAGGGCAGACTGTCGATGGAGCCCGAAAGACATTTCCAAAATTATTGGCAAGAGCCTCAGCCTTGGCATCGGAAATGAAATACTCATTGCCATTTTCATCGCATAGGGGGCCGAAAAACTTTTTCTTTAACAAATGCCTCTTCAGGTACGCCCAAGGTTACATTTGGTAGAGCTAAACAAAACGATTGATGAGATCATGGATTACATTCAAAAAAAGATCTTAAAGTTCATCGATAGAGGGGGAGTTCTCAAACATCAGTCAATCAATGCCTGACAAAATTGATTTGATCGAGTTTCTATCAGCATTGTGATAGTTACGTATGAGAGATGGAGTGGGGACATCGTCATGACCTGAACAAGATAATGCAACAGAAGATGATAAAATGTTATGATCGGCAGTACTCAAAGGTGGATGAGTTTGAATTCTCGAGACCAATTCTTTTTTTGAAAATATAAAATCTAAAATGGAAGCATGTCTCGTAGAGAAGGTGACCAATTGTGTAAGCGACAGACTTTCAAGTACTAAAATGAAAAGGGAAGAGGAGGATGAAATAGCTCTAGAGGCTGTCCAGTCAACATCACTCAGGTTAAAGTTACCCAAAAATAATACATTGGCACAACGGACGACAAGGCAATATTAGAAAGAGTATCTATAAGTACTTCGTCTTGGGCGTATGTTTGACTGGCGGGGGGTCGATGGACGAGTACATAACGCATAGTGGATATTGGATTTACAAGTAGATCAAAAACGAGCACATCCGACGACGAGCAAGAATCAACATCGATTTTCCGAAAAACTAAGTCGCACCGGATAAGGATACATACTCCTCTCCTTCCTTTTTATTTATACGATCTTTCCGAAGAAGATTATAGGAAAGGTTTCCAATGATTCCAGAATCAGAAAAGTTTGGGTTGGGCCATGACTCTGTTAAAAAAACAATGGCTGGTCTATAAAGATGAACGAAGTGGTGCAACTCAACAAACTTGTTAGCAAGGCTTCTCGCATCCAATAAAAAACAATCTAAGGTTAATCCCGCGCAAGTCATCAGTTTTTTTGGGCCGAGTTTTTGATCTTGGGAACATCAGTAACCTTCACAATCTGACCCCTATATACTACGTAGACTTTGCTTCCACCATGATCTTTATCGTTGGGATTGCGAGCCTGTTGTCGCAGCTCCCGGTCTCGATCCCTTTTCTCACGTGTCATTGATTTCCAGATGAAGATGTGGTCAAAACCTGGGAGACTGCAAAGGCAGAGAGCTCGTTTCGTGGTAAAAATAGCGTGATGAAAAGACACATTTAATGAGACGGGGTCTACTGCCACCAGGTATGCCCAGTCTAAAAATCTCAATGGGCCTCGCTTCTATATCTAATTTATCTAAGACGGTAATTACGGAATACGAGCCTGGCGTTCAGATGCATTAGCATCATCAAGCTCAGGAATCCCAGATATGACGACGGAGCGACCCCGCTTCTCATCATCGAAAAGGCTCCTGGCGGCAGACTGTTTGACCAAAGTTAATAATCGATTCAGGAGCGGCAAGGCCTCTGGGGCCTTGCCCTTTAAAATCGCGTGCAAACTGCTGAGAAGCGTACCTTCTTCTGTGCGATCATCACACCCTGAAGCAGCGGAAGGGACGGAAGCTGTTGATGTCTCATGAGGCTGAGACATCTTCCTTCCTTTTTTGGGCTGGGTGGTACGGCGCTGCGAGACCATATCGAAGTCCAAAAAACACAGCCGCTCGGCACGAGTGCAGGCAGCCGAATGAATTTGCAGAAGGTTTGCCCTATCAGGTGTTTATTAGAGCACTTTAAAAGTCTAAAATGAAAATTCTCAAAATTAGTGAAGGCTAGACATGGTAAGAATGAAGGATTCTAGTTTTCGGCAATTATCTCAGTGCTCGTCGAAACTGTCGCAACGTAAACATAGCTGCTGGAAAGAGGAAGAAATTCTGCATCGGACAATGCTTGAAGGATTTGTTTATTACGTTTCTGAACGATTTCAGATTAGGTCTAAAGAACGGAACTTTTGGACCCACTTAATACATAAAGTTGGGTTGGCTTTTCGTTTTTTTCTTGCAAATCTCCATAAAAAAGTGCTTGTTGTATTCCATCTATGATTTTTTAAGGTTATCACATATCAACCACTTAAGATTTTATGCTCTCAGTAAAAGAAATTTTGCCCCAGGCGAATTTTCGAAAAGTAGTTCTTACAAGAGAAGGCTGCGAAGTCGAGGTCGTACCTCCTACAAAATGCTTTCTTTACTAGATTGGAGCGCTGACTTCAAATCTGCCTCCCCTGTCCGCAGAATGCTTCTGGAAAGGAAAGTGTGGACTTTTACTTGCTAGAAAGTTGTAGGTCTGAGAGTAGCCAGGACCATCAACACTCGACAAGGGAATGTTCAGAAACCAAAGCGGACAGTCCTACAAGTGCTCACCATTAGATGCAAGATAAAACGCTAATCTCAAATCTGTATTCCATATTTGCTTAACATCTATGTGGACGAAGTTATGAGCCGTTTAAAGCCATTACTTTGCTTAGAAATCGTGATGCAAGGAGCAAATTCGGTGGTAGAAAACCCAAGTTAGGCTCAATGCTGGACCAAAACATAGAGCTAGGTTGCTTTATATTCTTGAAGCTTTTACTAACTTGAATGAATAAAAAATAGTTTTTTCATCACAATAATCCCCGCCCCGCCTATGAGATGACTAGTGTTCTACACTAAAGCCAGATTTTTTTGCCCTGCACGAATTCAAGTGACTCTGCTTGAAACCTATATCGAACATCAAGAATTTCTCGGAATGTGATAATCTCCAGTTCCAACAAAGTCATTCAATTTGATCGAATTTGAAAAGAAGGAATCGAATTCTTGGGGTAGTTAATGGAAAATTGTAGGGTACTACGAAATTACATTAATTGGTCGCAAAAAATGCGTGAAGGTTGCAAAAACTGAGTTTTGACTTTATTTTCAAGGTTATTGGAGGAAATCTACAGAGAAGACTTGATTTGAATTCGTTTTCGACATTCTCATCAAAAGTCATGGGAAACTAACTGACAATAAAAAAATATATCACGATGTACCAGAATCAGGTTCCTCAATAGTTTTAAACAAATTTCTCCGTTTTAGTACGAGAAAAAAACTGATAGAAAAAAAACTGATAAATAGCAAAAGATTTAAATTAAGAAGCAGCCGGACTCTTGCTTCGTAGCAGTAGTACGCTTTTGTGATTATGTCTTCATGTCCAAACTACCAATATCCATCAAAAATTCAGATTTTCTTGAAAAAGTAGCAATGAAAGCATGTTACTATTATACTTTATAGTTTAGCTGACTCTCTAGGACACAACAACTGTGAGTGACCACACTTTGCTAAGAAGAAAAATCACACAAGAATATTTCTGGATTCTAGGGAGCTTTTTTTTTCTCCTCGTATTGAGATTATTCAAGGAAGCGTCGCGCTCATTCGTTTCCCGCTGGGCAGCGGGTAAACCAGAAGATTTGGCGCTCTCGTGCCAAGTTGCCGGCATTGATCCTACCCATGGTTTCCGCGTTATGTGATCAGACTGCTTCTATCCGCGTCTTCCAGGAGGAAATCGTCGAAACCATTGTGATTTTTCGCAGTTGTGGTTGAGCAATGAAACCCTTTGTTGGTGGAGGAAGTTATGGTGCGAGACCTAAACTTACAGGGCCGTCGACGTCATCGGGATATGAATAGTAATGCGATGCCGAAAGACGGGTTGGGTAAAAAGTTGGTAGAGATTCGAGCCAAGTGCTTCAATGTCACCTCGGCTGTGCAGAAGCATACAAATCGATGTCCATGGTGCCCTGATCCATCCGATGTGACCATCGTTGAACAAAGGGTTAGTCTAGGACTTTCTATGACTTGTTATGTACCTGCCAAATATCATAGCCCTTTGCTTTTCTGCAATCTACCAATTCCCTGCATTTCATATACGATCATATATTAGTGACAATAGTCGCGAGTTGACAAACTGCCATGCTAGTAATTTTGTCCTACTAATTTATTCGAGTATCATCGACTTGCGTTCGTACCAATGTAATCTCAAAAGAGATACATGTGGGCTTAAAACGTAATGTCAATTTCCCCCTATAAAATGGTTGTAGGAAGCAGGTTTGCGCCATTATCCAAATCAATGATCAAATGTTGCCGTCACCGCAAATGCACCATATATTTCAAAAAAATCTACGGGACCGTAGTCACCTATGGGTGTGACTTTGTTTAATGAAAAGTGACTTTGGAGTAAAACCTGACTGTATAGCTGACTAGAAATGTGAGATCGATTTTTTTTGAAACTTCACACCTAATTAGTCTCACTCTCACACCGCACACCTGCAAACATTAACTCCTTTGTATACATCATTAAAAATGACCTGACTAGTCACTATACTTGGGTCCGAATCGAATAGAAATTCGATCATTCGAATAAAATATTCGAATATATTCGTATTCGAAATTCGATATTCGGAGTTCTTCCATTTTCGAATAATATTCGAAACTCAAATAATTGAGAAAACGGGGTTTCGAATAAAATTCGAAACTCGAATATTAAAAAAACAGGGTTTCGAATAAAATTCGAAAACTCGAATAATCAAAGAACGAGGATTCGAATATTATTCGAAAACTCGAATAATCAAAAAACGGGGTTTCGAATAGATTTTGTTCGAATGTTTTATTCGAATGTTTATTCAAATTCGTATTCGAATGAACTCCGTATTCAGATTATTCGACTTTTTGCAGAGCCAACTGCTGAATATCAAGCTCATTTCGTCTGCGTTTTTTTTGCAGAACTCGGTAATGCATCTTTTGCAACTGTTATGACCTCTGAACTTTATGGAGAGTCGCATTCTTCTGACTGCTTGCGACAGTAAAAAAATCATATGTGGATTTTGATAGATGCTCCTTCAATCAATGAGATTGTTCGCACTGCTATTGGCACCAAATCAGTAAGGAAGCTATCAAATTCAAGCTCATGTGAGTTCATTATTGAAAGTGTTTTGAAATGCCAATTCATCTTTCTTTGTATTGCTCATGCTTACGGTAGGCAAAGCCCACACTAGAGAGCACTCTTGCTCGCTTAAGTTATATTGCACAACTGCCTCTATTCGCTACCTTAGAGATTTTTTGCGAATTGGTGTATTTTGAGTAAAGGACATCGCAGTTGTAGTGGAGGATTAGACGGTTTAGATCGTCGTACGCGATTTGCCATTTACGAGAAGTTTTTAAATCTAATGCTAGCTTACCACAAATGTTTAGCGTGTACAACTTACCAAAAAGATAATGCCTTGCATTCTGTACTTCTAGAATAAGTTTTGGACAATTTGACTATTGCCAAACCACGTCGCCGCTGAAATGTCTGCAGTATGCCCGAGGCTATAGAGGGATTCGTGCTCGCTTCGCGAATATTCGAATTCGATTTTTGGAAAAGTTCAAGCTGCGGGGCTGGGGGTTCTTACAAGGGGGTAAGTGAGGGTGCTAATTATGAATAAAAATTTACTTTATCGATCTTATCGATTTTCGGGAACTTTGAGCGACAAAAGGGTAAGTGAGGGTGCTGTTTATGAACCTTAAGCGACAAAAGGGTAAGTGAGGGTGCTGTTTATGAACTAAAATTTACCTTATATATTTTTTCGATTTTTGGAAAATCTTCAGCTACGAGTTTGGGAGTTGGTACAGGGGGGTAAATGAGGACGCTGATTGAAACCGAAATCTATTTCATCGATTTCAGCGATTTTTGGAAAATTTTGAGCTAGCAGTTGGTATACAGATACGAGGGTGCTGATTAGGAATGGATCGGCTTTAGCCATATATGTCGGCAAGTTTGAGATATGATTGCTCTAGTTATTCGATAAATCATTCGAATATTCATTCGAAATTCGACTTCCAATGTTCGAATATAATCGATATTCATTCATTCGATATTTTTGATTTTCCAAATTTATTCGAAATTCATTCATTCGAGAATTTTTGAACCTCGAATTTATTCGATATTCGTTTATTTGAAATTTTTCCTTTTCGAATTTATTCGATATTCATTCATTCGATGAAAAGTTTTCGAATTACCCAAGTATACTAGTCACCCACTATTATCCAAGTTTGTGGTCAATCATTACTTACCCCGCTGTGACCATTCCCACAATGAAAACGTAATTTTTCCTAATAGTCGGTAAAATTTGAAAATTGCAGATGCCAGAAGAACCCTCTGCCTTTTTGACTTCAATCCTAATGCAGCTGAGTCAAGATCTTGTGCCTGCAACCATGTTGTTACTGGCTACCATTGCCATACTGGCCTCCTTAGGCTTCGCTTTCGTGCTGCTTGCAATTTTGAGGCAGAAGAGGTTTGTTAGGCATATTATCAAGTTTCTCGTTGGAAAATATGCATGTTGAATTTTTTTTCTAGGAGTATTCGCCAAGTTGCTGTTAAACCTCGCCATCAGCCATCTAGTTACTTGTGAGATAGCTAAGGAAGAGAATAGGTAAGCAGGCTAGTAAAGCTTTGCGCTAGATGCGTGCGCTTAAGTTTCTATCCATACGACGACTTTTGGGCCAAGTACTTTTCTGCTTTCCAAGTACGATCTACCCTGGGAACATACTCGCCCATTTACTTACTGGCTCTCTTCTTCATCAAAGTCTGAGCCAACAACGACGTCGCCGCTTGAATCAACGTCGTCAATCGGCTTACGGTCGTCGATCGTCGTGCCTTACACTTTTTGCTCCGGTGGTACGGTACCGCAAACGCGTCTTCACCATCATATCTCCTCCAACTCTTCTACAAGCCCTGAACGTGACTCTGGGCTTGGATCAGTATGATATTTGCTGTTTATGGTGTTCATCAGACAGGGTGGGCAGATCAAGCTATGGGTAAATTATTTGAACGTTTTTGAATCAATCTAGCAGCTTCGATTTTAGGCATGCGTCGCAAGGCAGCTAGCTACAAGATGCTGGAAAATTGAACTCAGGCTTCAAAGAACGATCTGGAATGGCCATTCTGGGCTTCCATCACTACAAAAGACAGACGCTTTCGAGACTTAAACAAACTCCTGCAGTACTAAAATCACTAATGGTAATCTTTTTTCCTTACTTACAGTATCGCGAACTCAGATAAGGCATACGGTAACTGCCAAGCGGTCACAGTCAGGGGGGGGGGAGAGTCTGGCATCGTTAACCTTACAATGTCTCTGTTTACAGAGGAAATTGAAGGAGGAAAATGCCACAAAGAGAAATATACTGCGTATTAATTAGCACGTTTATAGTTATTGGCGCGACTTATCGCGCGCAGAGACAGGGGGCCATTACGGACAGTGTTGGATTCTCTCAAATTGAACGCGCTTTCATCCCTCTAGCCGTCTGATGTCTCCATTAAACGTGTACTATCTTGATCAGACGTATTGGCGTCCACTATACGCGTGCGAGGCCTATACATATTTTGTTTGATTCAACAGGAATTAGCTTCCTCTTGTAAGCGCTCTTCCTATACTCTTCCTACCGTATGCCTATCTTAGCCCTTGCGAAAGTTTGTGAGAAAGGCCATCTCATATCACTTCTACGATGTCAAGAGTCTTCGGATAAATGTCCAAATTTAACCCAGAGCTTTGGATCTTATAAAAAAATTCAGGGATTAGACTTATTAGCTTTCTTTTAGTTGGAGCATCACGACAAGCAAATAGGAGAAGGACCTTGCTCTGCCTCAGATGGGCATAATATCCAACAAAAGCTCCACCAAACTGAGAGCGAGATTCTATTTGACTGTTGAAGCTTAGCTGTTGGCCTGAAGATTGGCTTTTGCGTACAACTGGGAAGAAAATGTACAGTTTCGTTGCAGTATCTTATGCCGGTGCTGCTATTTTCGTCTATTCATGTCAAGGAAATCTCTTTAAACTATTTTCTTTAATCTTCTGTGATTGATATCAAGCGGTTCCTCAAAATGTGATACTTTCTATGATTCCAACAAAACAAGTTTACCGAGTTTCTTCATCCCAGTATAATACCTCTACTTCATGCAGTTATCTGGTCATATGTGTAGATGCTTGAGTTCTCAGAGACTCATGATTAACTAATCATAGCTTTCATATTTCATTTTACAGATCCTACATTAAAGAGAAATGCTCGGTTTTTTATTTGGAGTAAACAGTGTAGATGACTTTTAAAAATGTGTTTATGTATGTGAAGTTGAATCAACTCACTGATATCATGCATAGGGATAAAGCTGTAATCAAAACTGTGTTTGCACAGGATGTGATGAAAGGCAAAGAGTTCATTTTGTAAAAAGCTCTAAGTGCCCACGATCATGGTACAAGCAATCTTTTACAATTTCTTACCAAACAACGGAAATATATGCTTTTATCAACACTGTTTGTTTGCAACAATCGTGCCTAAGGTGATCAGAAGTTCTGAGGTTTTATGAGGAATTCAAATGATTTTTATTCATGGAGATGTCTAAAAATCCATTTTCATACGCTAAACTCTGAGTCTTTTGCCATAAACAGTAAGTGAATGAATTCTCTTTTACTTGGATGCATTCCAATACAATACCGCTCACATTTTTTGAAAAATAGACGCGAATGTGTGGACATGTATGGACATGTCCGTACATGTCCATACATGTCCACACATTCGCGTCTATTTTTCAAAAAATGTGAGCGGTATTGTACTGCAATGGAGGAATATTGGGACTATATCTTGAGCAGCATAGCCCATGTTACTGAGTTGTCAATTCTCATAGCCAAAATAATAATAGGTTGGAAAGAAAGGAATGTCGCTTTTTTCGCGGTATACCAACTAATTTAATATTACCCAAAAACTGAGAATATTCATGGTCCATATTCCATGATTAAACTTTCGTTTGTAGTATACAACGGCATATATGCTAGGAGACTGTTGCCGCGGGTGAAGCTTTACAATTTCCGTCTTTCAAATTTTTTTGATTATTAAGCATGAAAAAAATTATGGCATTTACACATACCTATGAACAAGTGCCAGGGTCTCTTACATACAGAAGCAAGGGAGAGGTTTGTAGACTTTTTGGGACGAAAATTCTGTTTTGGGCAATGAGTTGTTCCTGTGTTTTGACTTTATTTTGCCTAAATCACAATTTCTGCCAATGTTCAAAAGTTCTCTTGTCAAGCTTTCTTTGTTTTATCGAATGATACCCTTAGGTATACCTTTGATTCGCTTCTTGTTTGTTATGAAAAAATTAACTTCAATCTAATAAATCGTTGACTTCTTTGCAATATCAAGACCTCTTCATCCCAAGAAATTCTGTTATTTTTTCAATAAATTCTAATCGATTCAAAAAATAACGCACATAGTTTTATACCAACTATCCTAATGATTTTAAGATAAAAGTCTCTTTGCTCCAGTCAAAGGACACACCTGTTTTGAGCGGCCAACTGTCCTAAACCAAGGCTTTGATCATCCGCCTGGCTCTAAATCACTTAACACTGATGGCAAAGCCACAAGATCGGTGGTGATTGATGAACCTTTTGGTTGCTTTGCTCTTGCTGCAAATTCTCAAACCACTGCCTGCTTTAGAGTGGAAATGGGGGGGGGGGTGCATGTCGTGAGGCTTTCATAGTATAGGTTTTCATTGCCAGAATGACATTCAAACACCTTGAGATTAAAATTAGCTTAGAATTTTCGTCAATTTGGCAGACATAGCGGAATGCCATGCATATGTGGAGGAATAAAAATATTATAGTTGCATCGTGAAGGACATGTCAAAAATTCTTGGAAATATCTTTGAGTGCTTGCTATCTCAGTGTTTTTCCTTTATTTTTCCAGTAAAAGCCTCAAATTTTGTTTAGTGACTGCCTCACATGTCCAGCTATCCATTTTATTTCTCTATCTGGATACAGTTTCTGTAGCAAGTTCTTGAGTTTTCGAAGCTTTCCTCGAATTCGCGTATTGAGACCTTTCCCAAATACTTCCTGGCGCCTATTTGAAATTAGGCATCGTTGATTTGACAGTTTACTATCAAAAGTCAGCACTAAAATGGTCAGAGTGTGATCCCAAGTATGCTCAAAAGTGTCCCAAAAACCTCTCGTTTGAATAGATCAAATTGTTTTTGTTTTCCAGCAGATCTAGGGCAGTGTTCGATAAAGCAAAGCAAGCTCTACAAAATTCGGAAACCCACCTAAATCGCCCAGGAAAAGTTTAGAGCCAAAATCGAAAAATTTTTATCGCCTGCAAGTACTTTTTTTGCTGCTATATCTATAGTGTATTCATAAATGCATCTGCTGAATTGTTTTTGCTCCAAGAAATCAAGAATAGAAAGATGCTTCAAATTGCCTAACTCTGTCCCTCCTCTCCCCCCCCCCCCCCGCCTCAATCCCACACATAGGATTGTATATACTGCAAGCCTTGATGGGTGTAGTCTAGAAATACCCTTGTACGTGCTCTATAGGGTAAGATCAATAGAAATAGAAATAGAAATAGAGATAGTTATATACAAAATGTGGTGCCATAATTTGTTTAATATGGAAATCAATTTTGCTGTGAACTAATTTAACTCCGTTTCGTTCCTGTCCTTAGACGGAGTAAAGGAGCTCAGAACTCTCCCCGGAACTCATCAGTAAGGAAGGAGAGTTCATGAGTCCTGTGTATTTCAAAATAGTTTTAGGATAAAAATTTTTTGAATGTTGTTGAAATAGATGAAGTTTAACAACTTACAATTTTTATACTCCGTCTTTCATTATATATAATAATATATGATATATTATATATATTGATCATATACTATAAACTATAGTAGTGACCATATTGGTAGACTAAAGAATAAAATGAAACATGTTAGTGTTTTTGTAGTTGGTTTTATTTATTATGATGTTAGTCATTTTGATAGACTACTTTATCAAATTGGTTGTTCGTAGTAGATTTGTATTGAAATAACTATACTGATTAATGATATGTGTTATTGATTAGAATCGTATGAAAGAGCTTAATTGAAGGCTGGTATAAGACGTATATTACATCAATAAACTATATATTGTGTAAATTTTGATGTAGAATGTGTAATAATCTTTTAATTTTATCGTAATTGTAAAATTCGTATTTATATAGTATAAAATTATTTTTATGTAAGCATTTGAAAATATTTGTATAAATCATGTTTTCATTGTATCCATTGTAAATAAGTAAGTTTCGTAACTGTAGTATTTTTGACAAAATCGTCAAGATAAGTGCAAGTACGGGCAACTCTTAAAGTTTCTGTGTAAACAATTGCGTTTTTGATGTGATTGGATACACCAGAAGTGATGTGTATAAATCTTTTTACTTGAAAAGGGAAACTATCAGTTTTGTTATACATTTTAGTTGTGATTCTGTTATTAATGATTGTAATATGTAAGTCCAAATAATTACAATGTAAATTATCTATATGAGTAGTTTCCAAACTTAGTTTGTTATCATATACGTTTTTGATTACATTATGAATTATAGGTTCAGTGCGGTTGTGTATGATTAATAGATCATCCATATAACGAAATGCAAAAAGTTGTTTATTGTTATTTACTTTATTAATTATATACTTGTATTCATACCAAGATAGTGTCAGGTCTGCTAACAATGGACTAAAATTACCGCCTTGTGGTACCCCTATTTTTTGTTTAAAAATGTATGTGCCAAATCTACAAAAACTGTTATCAAGAATATAATCAATGTAATACAATAAATCTGAAATGGTGTAGTTTCTGTGGCTAGATTTTGTGTTTATATTATCGGTGTAGTATATTCTGTTAAAGTCATTATATGTCAGATATTTTTTGTTTGCATTTTTGAAGCATAATTTGAGAAGTTCCTTGAGGTTGGTTTTTATTATGTTATGTGGTAGGCTAGTAAACATATTTGTGAAATCAGCTGAGTATAATTGCATGTTATTTATGTTGATATTGGATAATTTATCACTGATATTAGTATTGTCTATTGACCAGTAATTATATGAAGTTTATTTTTTATATTTAATCGCTTGTACATAGTTTTTAAAATGTATTTTTATGTGTTGAAATATACATTTTAATTCCAAGGCAAGAGGTTTAGTGCTACTGTGTGTAGCTCCAGTGATAAATCTGAATTTAATAGGGTTTTTATGGAGTTTTGGTACACAGTATATTAATGGTATTTTGTTAATATTTTGCAGTGGTAACTTGTTATTTCTGCAAAAGTCAATATGTCTTTTTATTATATCATTAGCATTTTCTTCTTCATATAAATTATATGTTTCATTTTCATTTGAAACTTCGTTTTTCTTATCAAATGTGATCCCTAATTCTTTCATTATTGTTTGTATGTAGAATTTTTTACAGATAATACCGAAGTTATTACTTGCTTTATCAAGTGGGCAGATTACAAATTGATTTTTAAGGTTTTTTATGTAACTACATTCAAAATTGTAATTTTGTTCGTTTGGGTCTTGTTTGCTTTTTAGTCTGGTTTTATAGAGAAGTGGTTTGAATCTAAGTTTGAATTTTTTTAGAAGAAAAGTTTCTATGTTTATAAGTTCTTCAGGTTTAAGTTTGTATTTTTTGATGTAAGTATTCATAATGAGTTGAACTGTTGACTGGATCCAATCTATTATTTCTTTTTTACTGGTGTTGTTAGGTATTCTGTATTTAGTACCTTTGTTCATTATGGATTTTAAGTGTTTATCTTTAATTATTTCTAGGTTTCCAGTAATGATATGTCCATGATTGTTATCAATATATTGTGTCATTTCTGATTCTCTACATTTACATGTTTGAGTAAGAATTTGATTTATTTTGTTCGTATCAAGTTCAGCGAGGATAGAATTGTAATTGAAAATTTGTATAGAAATTGGATTTTTGTATTTATATACAAGTCTGCATGGATTGTAATTGATTTTACTATTTTTGAGAATGTTTTTTACGAAACTATTATTGATAATTTTATTTAGATTGATTTCGTCTAGTATATTATGGATATATTCAACTTTGATATTGTTATAACTGATATTTTGTTTTTTCTTTTTTGTTACCATTGAACATAAATTTGCAAAGTATACTAAGAGTAGTTATTTTTATATTTTCTTCAATTTTCATTAGAAATGTGGGATCAAAACATGCTGCAATTACTTGTTTTATGAAATTTCTTTTCAATGAATGGATATATTGAAATAGGTCTTGTAGTGTGCTCTTACTACTGATAGTTTTCAAGAATGAATCTAGTGTTTCTTTATTCTTATTTTTATGCCTGTATTGACTACGTATTCTGTCTTTTGTTATTTTCAAATTATAGTAAGGATGTGTTTCTTTTTGTAAAAGAGGGTTATCAATATCGGATATATTTCCATATCCTTTAATGTTGTCATTCAATCCAAAAGGATAAGCTGTGTTGAGTAATTTGATCCAGAATAGTTCTTTACTTATCAAGACATTCTTGTCTTTATTGTTTTCCAGACTATCTAGTATTTGAACCGTCTTACTTCTATTTGTGCATGTTTTGAAGTGATCATATAGGAAGTTACTTATATCATTCTTTTTAGAATGATAAAAGTGTTCTCTTATTCTGCTTTTCAGATTTCTAGTCGTTAAACCTACATATTGTTTATTGCATTCATTACATGTGATGCAATAGATGACATTGTTATTTTTGCAATTGCTGTTATTTGTGCAAAATGTGTATATTTTTAATTTTGTTGAATTACTTACGATATATGGATTGTGATCCATTTGTTTACAAATGACGCATTTTGAACAACATGCAGTTGTGTTGTCATCGTTACCAAAATTGTCTAATGTGTACATTTTGTTAACCTTACTTTTATGAAATTGTGATTGTTCATAATAATTATCAGCAGTGCAAGACGTAGTTTTTCGAGACCACTTAAATAACTTCCTAGTCGGCAGGTCTTTACCCTAGGAAGTGCGGGAGATAATGATTTGGCAGGGCTGCTGCCAGGGTTCATGACCGACCCTGTTTGTGTTTAGTGAGTTTTTGAAACTTTGGTTTACAAATGAATAAACGGGACCCATGGAGTCGCAGGGGGGGTATCCCCCCATGTCCCCACATCCCCACTGGTTTCACCCATCATGGTGTCCCCCTATTTTTATAGAACAAGAGGTATGGCCCTCTTATCAAAGAATTTGTAAGGTATTTGCAATAAAACAATATCTTACGATAAAATAAAAATAAAAATAAACTTACCTATTTTATTTTCGATTATTTATAAATAAGTTATTGATGAATATATTTGATAAATAAGTTTTGATTATGATATTTAGACAAAATAACATAATTTAGATACAACATTTTTTGTATACATATAATTATAAAGTTATTTAAAAATATTGATATTATTAGTTTATGTTTAATGTAATTAATATTGTAAATTAATGATTGAGTTAATTTTTGTGTAAACTAATGATATAATTTATGATTGAAAAAGTAAATATAATAAAAAAGAAAAAAAGGAAAACACATTGGTGTTTGATGTGTATGCGTAAGGTTAACATGTTGTAACTGCAGTCGTTTATTTGCCGTATATTTTGTTATGTAACTTTTGGAATTATGAAGATTATTAAATAGTTGAATAATAGGTAGGACGATAGTGAAATGTTATAGTAATGTTGGCAGTACAAACATTGATGGAACATAGTTGGATGAGGAAAAGAATGGAATCGTTGTAATGACCGTACGATTGTTGGTCGGAAGTTTAGAAAAAGGAGAATTATGAGTTGTAAATGAGCTGAGAAGAGAAACTGTTAGTTTGACAGTGGAGTGACAAGTTTAACATGGAAAAAACCGAAAAATGTGATAATTTTGCGTCTTCAAGCTATTTATGTTTTAATTTTTAGTGCGGAAATCCAGCAGATGTATTTATGAATACTACGTTTCCCACTACGTATATTGGAGATCTATGAGGGTTTTCTGGAAAAAAATCCGATTTGTAGGGTATTTAGGAAATTCTGGTTTCCTGCTCCAAACTTTATCTAGATTACAAATTAAGTGATTTTTGGGGTAGATTCAGAGCTTGCTTTGCTATATCGAACAAGTCTGCCAAAAAAGCAGTGTAATTCATATGAAAAAAGGGTGCTTTTTGAGACAACCTAATACTTCATAGATAAGTTCCTACTCTTATAGAGCTAAAGGGCAATATAGGTACAGGTACATACATAGCTCGTTAGATACAAAAACACTTTAACTCAAAGAAAACCGGAGGCGGAGGGACCGGAATAGAGGATTCTATGTCGCCAAAATGGAGCGGCCTTCGCAGTCATCTGTAATAAATACGCACCTTCACATGCATGAAAGTGCGTTTATTGCAAGAAGTCCGCGCGAGACCCTCCTAATTCGGCGACATACAGTCCTCCACCCGGCGGACCGCAAACTGCTTTCTTGCAAGCGGTCAGCCAAATTTTAGCCAAAACTTGAACTTCCTCAACTGTCGCATGTCTACCAGCGGACAGCAGTACAAAATTAAAAACTTTCAACGAACGCTCTTACTCTCGTAACTCAGTTTCGAGCATCCGCCGTACAAAGATAGCGCTCCGAATGGCTCATTACTATTTAAGACCTGGCTTGAGGTATCTCTTAGTGGAAGGTACCAACGGGCTGTGCGGTCCTTCACAAATGACCGCGCGGCCCCCATGATTTTGTATATTCTCGCGAAAACTCCGCGAGAATGCGGCTACTGCGCCGCAACTAATTTATGAAAAAGCAGCAATTGTTCTCTGAGCGTTCGCCTAAAAAATGGCCAACAGTCTTCCAAATTACAAGCGAACCGCAAGAAATGAGCGATCTATTTCCCGGTGCCCACATATATATCGCATGGCCGCCATTCCGGCAATTATTTGAGAATGTGTGTATGCACACAGGAAATTTTGAACCAGGTACATACTTTCGTGACAACTCCATGTGAAAAGGTGTGCAACTTTTATTCCAATTTACGCTGAAAAGCTTATAGTGGCATAGATAAACAAAGTCAACTGATAATCTCTGTCAATTGGAGACTTTTAGAACTTCCAGTTTCAGCGAAGAATGCTACCTTAGTTATTTCAGTTCCCCATAACTATAATGAAAAGTTTTACATCTTTTACGATGGGCTTTGAGAACCGGGTCCGAATCCACATAACTCTGAAATGGTGATAGAATCATTCTTCACAAATAAGTCCAAGCAATTCGTTACCGAGATGAGGGCTACCAGATTTGCGAGATCCTGCTTTTCAGCATCGTTGAAAGTGGCGGTCATTCTGTTGCGCTAAACGAAGCTATGGATCTCACGGAAGTTTGAACCACCTCGAGTGCAAAAATTACCTGTGTCACTCTCATTTTATCCAATGGACCATGTTTGACGGACCATTCGTGTAACTTTAGGTAAACATTTCTGACCTTAATATGCTCAATTTTAATTGCATTTCATTGTAAAAGAACATTTCTAAGTTCTCTAAAACAACGTTTCGAATTATATAAGCTTCAAAACAACTACGCAGATTGAAGAAATAAACTCTCAATACATTTTGAAGCAATTTTTCAATTTCAAAATTCATTTTCTGCAGCGGGAACTGAGCAATTGCTTAACACGTTTCGGACCGGTGCTGCACATGGTGTAGCACCCTGCTTTGAAGGATCTTTTTGACATTCACAGGAGGTTTTCTTTTGGTCCAAGGTTATCAAGTCAAAGGCCTAAGCTTCTACTTTTGAAATGACTCTGTAAAGTTGTGCCGCCGATATTTGTTTAGGAGATATGGGCGCGAATCGAACAACAGTTGCAACGAAGTGCGGCAACGCGGACGACGCGTGTGACGTCGCAGCTGTCCTTTGCTTCGATATCAAAGAGGAAAACCGTAGTTTCGATACTGATTTGTACCGCCTACAACATAGATACTTTTGTATACTATTAGAAACTGAGTTCTTGTTCCTATCTTTCAGGAAAGCACAGAGGTCCTTCACAAGCGACAAGATTTAAACACTTCAAATCCATTCAGAACTTTGGGTATGGAACTTATCTGACAAGCTGATTACAGATGTGGCACACAGTCTACGAAATAAGGTCCCTTTGTTGGTCAATGGCTGAAAATACACTCTTTTTTCGCCGCGCGATTAGCTAAAAACTGAGAAAACGTAAATTTTCATGTTTTTGCAAAAGCGATGTTGCTGCTCTTCCTATATGAGAAAATGTATAATGAAAACCTTCAAAAGCACGGCTATGAATTTCCAGCTCTCTACAAGCTCTGATTTCCAAGAAATATAGGATCTAGCTTTCCTTACTCGGCTCATGCTAAAGCCAGTATTTTCCGGAAAATAGAGATTATAAAGAGTTGAGATTTTATATAATAAAGGATAAAGGATTTGGCGTCTTCAATACCCTCTGAGGGCATGCGCCGAACGCACACACTAACTTCACGGTCGAAGAGGCAATTGTATGCGTGCGAGCCTATTACAGTGACTTGCAGGGGCCAGCCGTTTCCAAGTTAGTGTTTTTATCCTCCCAGATTACTCTGGTACCAATTTACCGGCCCCGGAGGGTAGAGGGCTTGGTTGGCCCAGGGGCGGGGATCGAACCTGTGTTCGATCTGGTCATAGCGGCGCCTTATACCACTACGCCACTCGTCCCTCCGTTGAGATTTTATAATTGTAGTTCAAGAGGTTTGTAGAATACATTTACTTATGTGGAAACAGCACAGCATCGCTTTGGTAGAAACACAATTTTTGTTTTTTTTTTGTAGCATTTCTATCGTGCTAGGCGAATAGCCTTGCCGAATATATTCAAACCACAATATTGGTGCGAGAGACGGTCTTTTCATTCATGCATTTTCCCACATTTGAAAATTGCCTAAAAGCATTAATCTTCCTTGAAAATAAACCGTTGTATTTCATGTTTCAACAGACGCCAACATTTTCATTGCTTCTGTAAGTTATTTATCCTACAACTTGGTCATTTAGGTCCGCACGCAGTGATATACCCGCAGCGGAGGTGAACGCAGCTGAAAAAATCTTCCTGAAGCTCCTGCTTCTAGATTACAGGCAGTTTGATCATGCGCAAGTGTTTTTACTACCCACTATAAACTTATTGAACGGGAGGAAAAAGTTGTACAAGCCGCTTTTCTGGTTTCATTTATGATCTCTAATAATCCCGGCGGCTCACCGATACCTTTTCAAAGCCATTCATCCTTCGAAGTTGACAAAAAATTTCAGAGTTTGCTATTATCTGATCCAATGCGGTTAAGCAAATTTCTGTAAGAGCATGAGTTATTAGAAATTTGAGACTTTCGATCAACCCAAGTTTTGCTTGTGGTTCATCGCAGTTTTCATGACTTCGATACATTATTTGTTCTTATCAGAAACATGCTTAGCAGGAAATGATCAGAACTTGAACCAGCCATTAAACAAACGTATCATCGAAGTCGCCTTCCTATTTTCTCAAATTTGAACGCCCATAACTCCGTCCAGATAGTCGTTAGACAAATAATAAGCATACTTTTCAAATCAATGTTTCAAGGCGAGTCGAACCATATAGCTTATTTGGAATGGCTGGGTTGACTTCTGACCATTTGCTGCTTAGCACTGTTGGTTTAGCTTTTCCAGTTCTATTCAACTTGGAGTGTTTTCATTACTGAAAAAAGAAAAATGAACTTGAAAAAAAAAGACGGTATGATTCTTTGCTCCTATTCAGTATTTTTGCAGAAAGGGTAGTAGAAATACTCGCGAATAGTTGGAGCACACGAAAATTAAATCATTGGAGCTTCTTGATGTGCACTTTTTTGAAACCGCGTTTTGGTTTCCAGCGGGGACGTTGATGCACGCGGCCTTCAATCTAAATTGCTTGCGAGCTGACGAATCAATACAAGCACCTTCCCCCACAAAATTATCGCATTTTGAATGCACTGTAAAATTATACTTTGATTCAACAGGATTGGCGGCTGGAAGGCGGGGGCTTCTACGGCTAAAAAAGGTCAGAGAGCATGGGCGCGAGAGAGACGCAGACCGCCGCGAATGCGAGCGGTTGCCTTCCAGCCGCCAATCCGGTTGAATCAAAGAGTGATACAAGCTCTACTTACGAAAAAGTCAAGAAACACATTCTTATCAAAGTGAAGCTGACCTTTTCGCTGGCGTGCCTTAATTGTTCCATCTGCCAATAGAAGAAGCGGATAATATGCTGACAGAGAAGATCTTCCTAAATACACAATTTAAAAATACCAACAACTCATGATAGGAGCGAGGAGTGCTTGCCATTAATCCTGCGGGCAGAATTTTTACGCTTTTCAATCTACGACATTCCTCCTGTTTCGCTGGTTCTGGAGAAGGATCGAAAGGCGTAAGTGAAATCATCTATAACAAGTTGACTTAAAGTTGAGCTTGTTTTCTAGCGATTGTGAGAAATCATGCACCCACATCTACGTACTCTCTGTTGAAATCATCTTCATTTGGTTCAATAAAGTCATCTGGCGTGCCTTCCTGGGCCACTGTGCCTTTGACCAGCACTAGTATTGATGTCAAAAGTATTCTGTGGCAAATTTTTATACAACAAATCAGACTAGGCAAACCTACCTGAAGTTCATCCTAATCTTCTTGCGTTTCGACGGCGATCACTGACCTTTGCACGCTGAGACGGAATAGAAAATGACAGACAAAGTGGGAGTGTTCAATGTTGGAAACGTCTGTTTTTTTTAATTTACATGTTTGTGATTCAATGCATCGCTGAACCACAACGACTCCTTTTCACATTTCAACGCACTGACTAATGTACGCACTTGTCTGACACCGGTTTGACATTTTCTACTGTCTCAAAATACTTCGAAGTGCAATGTATAATAAAATCAGCACAAATTCTGAAACAGAATTCGTGTTTATATGCTTAGGCTCTGTAAGGCCTAATGGCACCTTTTACAACACAACTTCTTTGCAATGTGATGGCTCATAACTACGCCCAGAAAGTCGTTCAGCAAATAAAGAAAACAGTTTAAAGGCAGCGTTCTATGCTGCATCCATTAATGTGCAATTTGTTTAAAGCCATTTTGAATTCTGACCATTCTTTTGTAAACTATCCACTTTGCTTGTCTTCCTGAATAAAGTGTGTGTGGCAAGGCAATGTGTTTTTCTAAATTTTTTCATGATGGCAAAAGAATTCGCGTCTTGAGACTTTCCTATTGAAGATAGATTACTAGTACCTACCCAAAATTAGGCATTGTTTACTATCATTTATCAATACCATACCTTCGATAGTCTAGAGACAGGGCGCCAAAAGTGAAGGTTGTTTGAACATCTGACGTCATAAATAATGAAGGTTGTTTTAAGAAGATCAGAGAAGAGAAAATGACGTGAAAAACAGATATAAAAAGCAAAAGAAATTGCTGAAAACCTAAAAACGCTGCAATGAGGTTTGAAATCTTTCATTTGGCGGTTTTTCAAAGTGCAAGTTTTCGCCCCAGGACCAGCAGTTCGCTACACGGATTTTGATTTTTGATGCGTCTTTTGAATTTTTACCCCCGCATTGACGCGTTACTGTTTCCTGGGAGGTTGTCTGCATTGTTGTGTTTATTGTTCTGAGCAACAATCGCTCAAGCTGGAAAAAAATCGCTGCGAAAGCACTGAAACAGAACAAGGTAAAGAAAAACGTACCTTTTTACGATTTTTCGCAAAATTTCCACCATCATCGAAGAGATAAAGCCGGGTGGTTGTCTGCATTATGAACAGGAGCAAGATCTATAGAATGCACGAAAAAACCGCGTAAAAAGAGTTAAATTAGGAGAGAAACAAGAGATTTTCGAAAACAATTTTTTTTCCGGATTTTTCGATCAAATTAAGAAATATGGTTTGGGACGTTGTCAGCGTGAAAAAGAGAACAAAAGCATCAAAATGATATATAGCTTGCTGAAATTGGGATCGAAACAGCGAAGAAAAGGGTACCAGAGCCAAATGCCCCGCGCCCCGCGTTTGGGGTAGCGAGGTAGAGCGCAGCGCGCGGAGACGCAGACGAGCAGCGGAGACAGACCAGAGCGACGGGGCATTTGGCTCTGGTCGTAGATCTCTGCGGGGTCCCAACGAGACCCTGCAATATTACATATCATTCTGATCATCATGACACGACAGGAGAACTGGCAACGTCCCAAGCTTTGAAAATCACTCATTAACAGATAGACCAGCGTTTTCTTGCGCGATTCTCTGCGCAAGATTTAAGCGCAGTTCCTCGTTTTTATTCAACTCCAATAGCTTTCATAAACTTCTGAATTTCGATTTTGGTCAAATGAGAGGTTAATTAAGAAATTTCGTCCTATATTCTGGCGAAAATTCCACAGAAACATTTTTTAACGTAAAAAAGGCTATGAAAACGCATATTCTTGGTTTCGCTGAGATAAGCTAAAGATATTATTCCCTATATTTGCTACATTAACATTCGTTCCGATATAGTCAGGATAATAACATCCGGGGCGAAGCCCCGGATGTTATTATCCTAACCCAGATCACTTCTGTTTTTTTCCAGGTGAAGATTGTGTCCCCTCGTAGCTTTCAAAGTGAAGGTTACCAGAGTACATGGCCCTATGTATCGAGTGTTTGATCTACTCAAAGATTTTACTTTTGAGACAACCTGATACGGTCATAACACTTTGATCCACACCTTGACTTTTTTCAAGAGTTGTGGTGACAGATCGTATTGAGTCAATACGATCTGTCACCACAACTCTTGAAAAAAGTCAAGGTGTGGATCAAAGTGTTATGAACGTATCAGGTTGTCTCAAAAGTAAAATCTTTGAGTAGATCAAACTGTTGTTATCTTAATAGACCTAGGGCAAAACTCGATAGAGCAAAGCAAGCTCTCTAAAATGACAATCAAAAATTTTCCCAAATTGGTCAAGCAAAGTTCCATGCGAAAATCGAAGAGATAGTCGCTTAAAAATGATTTTGCTGTTAGGAAGTACAATACCGCTCATAATTCGTCAAAAAGGTCGCCGGACTGCGGCGCACTCCGCCGGAGTGCGCTGCTATGCGCCGGAGTGCGACGCAGTCTGCTAGAGTGCAGCGGAGTGCGCCGCACTGCACTGCAGTCCGCCGGAGAGCAGCGGAGTGCGCCGCACATCGCTAGAGTCCGCTCCTTCGGAATCCGCCGCCATATCGCGCTTCAGAAACGAATTCTGAATCCGAGGACACCGTTCGATTCAGCTCGGCGAGACGCATCATCTATAATAGTATGAAGGAGTGCCACATTTAGCGGGATATGATAGGTATACGCTAGACAGTAAGTTTTCGCTTAATTATGCAAATTTTTGTTCGGTTGGATTGTTCAGTGTGTTGACAACAGTATTGCGATTGATTTGTCGCTGATGACACATAAAAAGTATACTGTAGGTGCATGGTAGGTCAGTCTGATCGAATTTGCTCTAAAATCTGCTGAAGATCACAATTGCGCTCACAGGATGTACAAAATTCCGTGAACTTCGCGGATTTCCGGGATTTACTCCAAATTCCGCGATATTCCTGAAAGTTCGCGACATTCTAGGATCCGCGGAATCACGGGAATCGCGCAGAATACCCAACGCCATAACTTGCTTCGCAATAAGTATATTTTAAATCCGGAAGCAACACTTTATTTAGATTGTGAAGGCAAAACTTTTGGTATACAGCATGCCCTCGATATACCGTTTCCAATTTTCTCGATTTTTTATGTGGAAATCCTTTCGCAAAGATGTAAGGCAGCGTCTGTGTAACATAAAAGATTCCATTAAGCACTATTCGATAATACTGTTCTTGTAGGTTATCGAGCGTTTAGAATCAGCCGCAGACTGTCTTCGAAAAGAGATAGGAGCGTTGGCGAATTTTAGAAAAATCACGCGTTGTGGAATTCTAATCGCCGTAACTTTCTTAACACATTGACGACAGCTTGACTCACATGGTGGGTCACGCAATGACTGTCACGTGGGACAGTGTGACCCACGTTTGGGTTATGGCTTAAAATTCGTCAAAATGAATACAATTTTGAGGTAAATTCGTTTCAGAAGTACTCTGACGCTCTGATTCTACGAGTTACTACCGCATTTCTTTTCTGCTCCTTAAAATTACCGTAGATTCACTGTAGATGAGGAACTGCTTGATTTTAGCTGAAAATTTTTAACTTTTTCGTGGAAGGCATTGTCCCACAAGGCAGACAGCTGAAAATGCGTGTTGCCGTCAACGTGTTAATATTCTAAATATTATTTTATTATAAATATTTTAAATATTCTATAATATTCTAAATCCGAAGAAAGCTTTGTGCTCAGTTGATCAAGGCAAATCTTCCGGTATACAGCATGTCCTCCATATTCCAATTTCAGTATTCTCAAATCTTTCTGTGGAAGTCTTGAAAAGGCGTAAAGCAGCGCGCATAGTCCCGAGTACATTCCACAAGGACCTTTCGATAGTACTTTTTCTGTAGATTATGATGCGCTAAATAGTAGCCGCAGATTTCTTTTCAAAGGAATTAGAAAAGCTGGTGAATTGTGGAAAAATCTTGTCGTCCCAAACTCTACTCGCCATAGCCCTAGAACACGAAGCTATCTTGCTAAGCAGATTTGAGTGAAATCAGCAGGGCGGATAACCTCTGTGAACAAGTTTTCGATAGTTTTCGATGTTAGGGTCATTTCATTTTTTCTCGTTTTACGCTCTGGAAGCTCGCCGACGGATTTTGGTCAAAATGTTGATGCTCTTGAATTGTAAGGAAACTTTGTTTATAGAAGTGTTCGAACACGCTCTTTACGAAAATTGTGGTCTTTGAGGATTATAGGGTTTTTTTTGCAGAGATAAGTGAGGTAACTTTGACTAAGTCACGAAAGCTCGTAACTTCACCTGCACTCCTAGCGTATCTCTCAGAAAACCTGCCTGCTTGCTTTTATAGATTAAATTTGCTAGGTGTGCTATCGAATGGTGGATGACTCAGGCTCCCTGCAAAATTCGACGAGTTACGAGCCTACGAAAACACGTCCTCATAAATTTTACCCTAAATGTAAAGATCGCAAACTTAGTCGAAATTCCACCGTAAGTGCTTGTATGACACTCGCATTGCAGATATTGTGCTCGCTTCGTTCAATGACTCCCATTGTATTGAATATGGTGCTTGCGTTTGCTTCAGCAGCTTAATCGAATATCAAAGCTATTTCGTGGCTAGAGCTCAAACTACCAAATCTAACACAATGAGATCCATCAAGGATGTGAAAAGATTTGACCAGCATGTTGTACAAGCACTTACGGTGGAATTTCGACGAAATATGCGGTCTTTACATTTTGGGCAAAATTCATGAGGACGTGGTTTCGTAGGCTTGTAACTGGGCGATTTTTAGATTGGAGCCTGAGTCATGCACCATTCGATGGCACAGTTCCCAGTAAATTTAATCTGTCAAAGCCTTATCACTGGCGTTTCCATACTGCTCTCTCATCCAATCATTGAATTTGACGACATGCTCATAGAAAAGACCTTCTCCCTAAATACAAAGCTGAAAACTCCATTGAGTTAAGAATAATCCTCTTGCCGGCATTCCTGCGTTTTCCCAAGTATGCTATCAACGGACGGCACTTTAGTGTAATCATCTGTAAAGGAGACCTTGAAACTAGGGTCTGAGAGACTATGAGAAGCCAAGCACCCACATTTACGTACTCCCTGTTG